AAAAAAAACCAAAACCTCCCACCCACAACACACCAAAAAAACAAAACCCCAACAATCAGAATTGAACCGTTAAATCTGAATGGAACTCAAGATGATTCAATGGAAAGACTACACTTCCCAGCATCCTTTGCAGCTAGGCACACCTTTGAGATTATCAATGAGTGTGAGTGGCCTCATTGTGTGACCTCCAGGCTGTTTCCCAGCCCTGCTCCCTGTGTTCCTCTTGGGTGCAATGTCGTCCTCCACTGGGTAGATTGGGATGTCCCAGGAAATGGTAGAAACTCTTGAATCATTTGTGGTGGGTTTGATTGTTGCTGCTCAAATAGCACACTGGAGTATATCTTCGTTTTTGTATCTAAGTTGAGATGTTCCAGTCTGCAAAGTGGTTCAGACCCCATCTTGTTGATTTGTTGAGGAATTTATAGGATAATGATCCATGGAAAAATGCCTGACGGGTGTAGTGTGCAACTCGAGAAATACTAGTGACAGCTGGGAATGTGGCTCAGTGGTAGAGTGCTTGCCTCACATGCATGAAGCCCTGGGTTTGATTCCTCAGTACCACATAAACATAAAAAGCCAGAAATGGAGCTGTGGCTCTAGTGATAGAGTGCTAGCCTTGAGCACAGAGAGGCTCAGGGACAGTGCTCAGGTACTGGTGGCTCACACCTGTAATCCTAGCTACTCAGGAGGCTGACATCTGAGGATCATGGTTAGAAGCCAGCTGTGGCAGAAAAATCCGTGAGATTCTTATCTCCAACAAACCACCAGAAAACAGGAAGGAGAATTGTGGCTCAAAGTGGTAGAGCATTAGCCTTGAGCAAAAGAACTCAAGGATACCCAGGCCTTGAGTTCAAACCTCATGACCAACAAAACACCCCCCACCCCCACCCCCAGAAATACTGGGCTGGGAATGTGGTTTAGTGGTGGAGTGCTTGCCTAGATGCATGAAACCCTGGGCTTGATTCCTCAGTACCCCATTAACAGAAAAACCAGGAATGGTGCTGTGGGCTTAAGTGGTAGAATGCTAGCCTTGAGCAAGAAGCAGCTCAGGGACAGTGCTCAGGCCCTCAGTTCAAGTCCCAGGACTGGCAAAAAAAGGAAAAAGAAATACTGGCAAGGCATGGTGGTATACACCTTTAATCACAGCACTTGGGAGGCTGAGGAAGGAAGATTATAAATTCAAGACTGAGCCTGGAATACTTAGTAACAATTCAAAGAGACTTTTTATCTCCAATGAACTATCAAAAAAAGCTGGAAGTGGAACTGTGGTTCAAGAGGTAGTATGCTTACCTTGAACAAGATAGTTGTGGTTTGTGAATGTTGGGAGGAGGGAGGGACAATGGGGAGTTATTATTTAGTGGGTCTCAAGTTTTAGTTTCACAAAATTAAAAGAGTTACCGAGTTGGACAGTGCCAGTAATTTTATAATCTAAATGTTCTTAATGTTGCTGATTTGTACACTTAAAAGACATTCCAATGGTAAATATTGTATTAGGTGTATTTTATCCTAGTTAACAACAACAAAAAAAACCAAATAAAAATAGAAGACATGTTACACAATTGTGTGGACTTTGTAAGAGTCCATACACAGGAAATGCTAAACAGGTAAAAAGTAATCTGTAGTGGCAAAGGACTTTAGAATTTCTAATACCTTAAATATTACTACTAATTAAAATATGTTGTTCTTGCCAGGAGCCAATGGCTCCTGATAATCCTAGATACTGAGGAGAATGAGATCTGAGAGTTGAGGTTCAAAGTCACACCCAGGGCTAGAAAGACCATGAGTCTTTTATGCCCAATTAGTCATCAAAAAACTGGAAATGAAGCTGTGGTCCAAGTGGTAGAGGGCCAGCCTTGAACAAGTAAAGCCAAACAAGAACACGAGACCCTGAATTCAACCCTCAGTATCAGCACAAGAAAAATAAAAATATATATGTAACAAAACTATTTTATAAATCAGGTGCTGGTGGCTCACGCCTGTCATCCTAGCTACTCAGGAACCTGAGAACTGAGGATTATGGTTCCAAGCCAGCATGGGTAGGAAAGTCTGTGAGACTCTTACCTCCAATGAACCACCAGAAAATCAGAAGTAGCACTGTGTCTTAAAGTGGGAGAGTGATAGCCTTGAGTGAATGAGTTCAGGGACAGAGTCCAGGCTCAGAGTGTCCCATAAAAGACACACACACACACACACATATAACAAACATATAGTAAAATAACTATATTCTTTCTATAGCTATATATATATACACATACATATATACATATATTTTAACACGTTCTTATAAAGTTTCCATTGTTCTTTATTTTTTTCTAATGTTGTAGGGGTCAAATACAGGACTTTACATGACAGAACTAGTGCTCTATCACTGAACTGAATCCTCAGCCCTCCAATTTGTATCTGTGTGTGTGTGTGTGTGTGTGTGTGTGTGTGTGTGTATGTTTATGTGTGCATGCACACACTTGTCCTAGGGCTGTACGTTAGCTTTTTCCACTCAAGGCTGGCACTCTACCACTTGAGCCACTTAAGTTCCACTTTGGGTCTTTGAGTAGTTCATTGGAGATAAGCGTCTCATGGACTTTCCTACCTAGACTGGCTTTAAACCTCAATCCTCAGATCTCAGCCTTCTGAGCTGCTAGGATGTCAGGTGCAAGCACTGGTACCTGCCAGATGTTTGTTTGTTGTTTTTGCATGAGGAATTCCCTTCGTGATTTCTTATGGGGTTCCCTTGGAGGGGAAAGAAAAGTCACCAATTAATCCATGCACGGTATAGAAAAGAGAACCCAAAAATTACAGTAAAAAAAATTTAAATTTTTTTCAGACCTTTTGTGTGAAGAGTGCCAAACTGGAAAACACACACACAATGTCCATGTTGACATTGGGTCAAAGTGTTTTGAAATTGTATGATTTTCTGGGAGGTCCCTGAAGGCTGATCTATGTTCTCTGTGTTCCTGGCAGGTTTTGTGCTCAGTAGCAGCCTGACTGATGCTCCTGCCAAATAGCTCTGGTGAATTTCCTATAGTTATCAAAGCTTCAGAAGTGCCTGATGTTAGCAACAATTTTTAGGGCTGAGGGAAGCAAAAGGGACCCAAGTCTCTCCTGGGGTGTTGGGCTAGGAGCTAAACAAGTAACTGGGAAATCCCTGTGACAAGTACCTCTTTTCATGCTTATTTCCTCTTCTTTTATGTATGGTGCGATGTTGAAGGTCAGGACATTTTGACTTTGTCTGTATGTGTGTGTGCGTATGCGCATGCATGTGTGCATATGTGCGTGTGTTTGCCAGTACTGGGGCTTGAACTCAGGGCCTGAGCACTGTCCCTGAGCTTTGTCACACAAGGTTGATGCTCTACCACTTGAGCCACAGTGCCACTTCTGACTGGCTCCAACAGTTCATTGAAGAGATTATTCTTTGTTTCTTCTTTTTTCTTTTCTTTTATTGTTAAGATGCTGTACAGAGGGGTTACAGTTACATGAGTACATTACTTATCAATCATTGTTACTCTTTCCTTTCCTTATTGTTGTCCCACTATCCCTTCCCTCCCCCACCTCCCACAGTCCACCCTTCTCCTCCCTCCAAGACTCCCCCCCCCCTCCCCCTGGCCTGAAGTTGTAAAGTTCGTTTCCAATATACTGTCCTGTGGGTATCCTTGTTGCAATGGGTCATCCTGTGTCCTTGTTTCAGTGTTTTGTTATTCCCCTTCCCATCCCCAATTAGACATATGTATACACAAGATGCAGGGTATTGAAATCGAGTATAGTGACAACAGGGGATATGCCATAGGGGAAAGAACATACAAAGGAAATAACAACAACAACAAAAAATAAAGTCACATGGTACATTTAAAACAGTAACAATAAGACAGACCTCTTGTGTCCATATCTTGGGGTTCATTTCACTTAGCATCATCTTATATCGTCATTTGTACATGTTGTTTTTGAGCTTTTCAATTCATCGATAAGATTAGCCTATATGTATACTAATTATGGCAAATAAGGGAAACCTTGGGACTTAAATTTCTTTGGGACTGGGTAACTTCACTTAATAAGATTTTTTCCAAGTCTTACCATTTCCTAACAAATGGAGCAGTGTCATTCTGATGGAAGCATAGAATTCCATTGCTTATATGTACCACATTTTCTGGATCCATTCATCTACTGAGGAGCATCTGAGTTGGTTCCATATCTTAGCTATGGTGAATAATGCTGCGATAACCATAGTCGTGCTGGTAGCTTTAGTGTGGCCTTGTTTGTGATCATTTGGGCAAATGCCCAGAAGTGGGACTGCTGGGTCATGGGGAGCTCTATGTGGAGTCTTTTCAGGAGCCTCCATACTGCTTTCCAGAGTGGCTGAACAAGTTTACACTCCCACCAACAGTTCAGTAGGGTTTCCTTTTGGCCACATCCCCTCCAGCATCTGTTGTTATTAGATTTGATTATAGCCATTCTTAAAAGATTATTCTTTTCCCTTCAGCTTCCTGTCAAAATTAAGAATTGGAATCTGGGTGCTGGTGGCTCAAGCATGTCATCCTAGGTACTCAGGAGACTGAGATCTGAGGATCGTGGTTAAAAGTCAGCCTTGGCAGGGGAGTACCCATGAGACTCTTATCTCCAATCAACCACCAGAATACCAGAAGCGGCACTGTGGCTCAAAGTGTTAATACACTATCTTTGAGCAAAAGAGCTCAGAAACAGTGCCCAGGCCCTAGTTCAAGCCCCACAACTGATAAAAAAAAGATGAAGAAGAAGAAAACCAACAAGAAATAGGAAGAAAGGAGAAGGCTCCTTTCCAGAGATTTTCCCAACGGTGAACTCAATACATGTGTACTCAGGGTAGGAGATTATGAGTTACATAAACCCCCTTGCCAAGGAATCTGTTCCTCTGATGGCATTACACCCTGCACACTCGAATTTCAGGATGTTCAGATTTCAATTTAAGCTCCCAGAAACTATTTAGGAAGGATCTGAAGCCGAGGAGTGAACCTCTCTCTCCGTGTGGCACAATGGACCTAGGAGGAGCCTTGACCATCTTTCTGGCATTCAGTTTGTCTTGTCTGTTCATCTTCATGGCCTGGAAACAAATCAACAAGGGAGGAAAGCTGCCCCCAGGCCCCACCCCAATTCCTTTCCTGGGGAACGTGCTGCAGGTCCGCATCGATGCCTTTTTTCACTCTTTCATGAAGGTGAGTCTGTAGGCCTCCCCCCACCGGAGAGGAAGCCATGAACCCCACGGCCAGGTGCCCACATACACACTTGGTTGGCCCTCTTAGAGTGTGGAAAACAATCCCAGAATCAGAAACTTCATGAGAACTTACATTCCTTGTGCATCGGGGTACATCTCTGCTTAATGTCAGGAGTTTGGAAGACAAGTTGGAGGGTCAGTATCTCAAGATTCTAGAAAGTTACCCTGGGTGTCAGTGGCTCATGCATGGGATCCTAGCTACTGAAGAAGCTGATATCTGAGGATCCTGGTTCAAAGCCATCCTGAGCAAGAAAGTCTGTGAGACTCTTATCTCCAATTCACCAGCCCCCCCCCCCCCAAAAGCCAGAAGTAGCTCAAAGTGGTAGAGTGCTAGCTAAGAGTCAGCACCCAGGCCTTGAGTTCAAGTCCTAGTGCACACACACACACACACACACACACACACACAGACAACATATACACAGAAAACACATGGTCAGAAAGTTAATGTTTTAGAGAGAAGCATGGATCTGAATTCATCTAATCCACATCCATCACTTTACAGATGATGAAACTAGAACATTCATCTTTTGTGTGTGTGTGTGTGTGTGTGTGTGTGTGTGTGCCTCTGTGTGTGTGTGTGTGTGTGTGTGTGTGTGTGTGTGTATGCTAGTTCTGCAGCTTGAACTCAGGGCCTGGGTAGGCACTGCTTCTAAGCACAAAAGGCTTGAACCACAGATCTACTTCTGGGTTTTTGGTGGTTCATTGGAGATCAGAGTCTCACACATTTTCCTGCCTAGGCTGGCTTTGAACCATGATCCTCAGATCTCAGTCTCCCGATTAGCTAGGATGACAGATTTGAGCCACCAGCCCCTGTGGACTTTCATCTTTGGTTATCTGGATGTGGGTCCCCACGCAGCCTCTGCCCCAGGTCACAGAAGTAGACTGTCCATTAGTTCTTTCAAACCTAGGATGTGTCTTTATCTGTTATTGCACTCCTCTGGAATCCCTCCACTCTCTATCAGCTCCTGGACTTGTCCCTGTGTCCTGCTCTAATCCATCATCTCCTCCATGCCTTCCTTCCCTCCCAGCTGCAGAAGAAATATGGCAATGTGTTCACTGTGTACTTGGGTCCTCGGCCAGTGGTTATTTTATGCGGACATGATGCAGTAAAGGAGGCGCTGATAGATCAAGCAGATAACTTCAGTGGCCGTGGAGAAATAGCAACCATAGAGCGGAACTTCCAAGGCTATGGTAAGTCGCAACCATGACCTAACACCACCAAAGGAAAGTGATCACTATGTCAAAACTAGATCACACACACACACACACACACACACACACACACACACACACACACACACACACACACACACACGGGATGAGATAAATGATATGGGACTCCAGACTTTCACTCACAATGAGATCAAAGATGAACACAAAGGCACAATGCCTACATGCTTCTGATCATATAAAATAATACCCAATGAGCTAGGTGTCAGTGGCTCATACCTGTCATCCTAGCTACTCAGGAGGCTGAGATCTGAGATGGGGGTTTGAAGCCAGCCTGGGCAGAAAAGTCGCCATGAGACTGCTATCTCCAATTAACCATTCAAAAAACCGGAAGTGTCACCGTGGCTTAAAGTGATAATGCTCTAGCCTTGAGCAAAAGAGCTCAGAGACAGTGCTCAGGCCCTGAGTTCAAGCCCTATAACCACCGAAAAAGAAAGAGAGTAAGAAAAAAGGAAAGAGAGAAAGAAAGAAAGAAAGAAGGAAAGAAAAGAAAGAAATGTTCACAGTGCATTTAGTATGTTCCATGTTTTGTAAGAAGAGCAGGAATCCTTGTTTTGAGTCCTTTGAGGAAACTATCAAAATTAGGCTAATTTTGCTAACATGAAAGCTGATGGTGAGAGACAGAAGGTAATGATACATGGTGAGTGGCATTCCACTTTGATTTTTATTATTAATTGGTGTGTATGTGTGTGTGTGTGTCAGCCCTGGGGCTTGAACTCAGGTCCAGGACGATGTCCCTGAGGTGTTTTTTTTTTCGGTCATGGGGCTTGAACTCTGGGCCTGGACACTCTCTCTCAGCTCTGCAGCTCAAGGCAAGCGCTTTACCACTTGAGCCGCAGCGCCACTTCCTGTCCCTGAGTTTTTTCACCTCCTCAGTAGCAAGGATTCCAGGATTGAGGCACCGGCACATGGCCCTGCCAACATTAATTTTTATCTTACCCCACATACACATGTGTTTTCTAGAAGCTCCAGAAGGTTCTTTTCTAGTGTTTCTCTGGCACCCGCCTGTCTGCATCCTTCCATCCTAATCAGGTTACCTTGTCTGTTCCATCTCTAATCTACCCCTTGGTCCCTGTATTTTTTCTCCTCCTATCTATTGCTCCATAAATCTGTCAAAAATATATTTATTAGAGATTCTTCTAATAAAGAAGAATCTTTCCAACCATGTATACTAACCTATCAATTATTTTTCATTCACCCATCAATCTATCATCTTATCTATTCTTTTACAAGCCTCTTCATCATTCATAAATCTGTTACTCTTTCATCCATCCACCAATTTATCTGTCTATCCATCCATTTCTCCATTACCCATCCATTCATCCATCCATGCACCCATCCATCCATTGCACCCACCTGCCATTCCAGTCATAAACCCTTCCATTCATCAAATTACATTTCCAAAAAATTCACTAATCTGGTTATTTCCACATGAGAGCTAATCTTAATGTTACCCCAATACCCACTGAGTGGAAAATTGGGGGAAGTTTCCCCCAGAGCAGAATTGAGACCTTTGCTAGTCCGTCTCCATGCTGACTACCACAGTGTTGACCACAGAGCAGAGCAGGGTGGAGGGAAGATGATTCTCACATCTTGGCAGGTTTGGCTATGGCCAATGGAGAACGATGGAAGGTCCTTCGCCGTTTTTCTCTGACTGTCCTTCGAAACTTTGGGATGGGAAAGCGGAGCATTGAGGAGCGGATTCAGGAAGAGGCTGGGTACCTACTAGAGGAATTCCGGAAGACAAAAGGTATGGAGGTTGGGGGGAGCTCCCCAATGGCTGCTAGGTGATGGGGTATCAGTGGAGGGAGAGTTCAACCATAAGAAGATGGGCAGAAGATGGTGGCAGAAAACTGAAATGGGAGATGGAAACTCTCCAGATTTACTGAGATTTCCAGCCAGGTTCCAGGTTAAAAAACTAACATGTGATATCCATAGCTCATTCCTGTAACCCTAGCTCCTAAGAGGCTCAGACCTTGAGGATCGTGGTTCAAAGCCAGTCCAGGTAGGAAAGTTTGTGAGACTCTTTGTCTCTCATTAACCACTAAAACCACAAGTGGAGCTGTGGCTCAAGTGATAGATCAGCAGACTTCACCCTGAGTTCAAGCCCAGTACCCACTAAAAAAAGTCAACATGGAAGACCCTTAGAAACTACTTATCCAGAGCCCTTCCTCAATGGACTCCCAAAATCTGTATGTAGAGTTTTGGTGATAAGGGTGTAGCCAGGGCTGGTTTTATTCTCCCAGTTATTCTCAGCCTGCCCAGTGCTGGGTCTATACTCATGCACCACTATACCCAGCCCTCAGTGTGCTTACTGCACATCAGGAACTGAGTGAAGCTTTTTATCATGACTCCATTACTGCTCGTGATCATCTCCAACATGAATGATTTCCACTTCCTCCCTTCCCCTCACTCCCCCCCTCCCAGGCACCCCAATTGATCCCACCTTCTTCCTGAGCCGCACGGTGTCCAATGTCATCAGTTCTGTGGTCTTCGGAAACCGCTTTGACTATGAAGACAAGCAGTTCCTGAGCCTTCTGGAGATGATTAATGAGACTTTCATTGAGATGAGTGTGCCCTGGGCCCAGGTAACCATGGGGAGTCACTTTCCCTGCCCCTTCCCCTGGCTCCCCAACTCTGACATGCACCAGTGACCCATGCCTGTCATCCTAGCTACTCTCAGGAGGCTGAGATCTGAGGATCGTGGTTCAAAGCCAGTCTGGGCAGAAAAGACCATGAGACTCTTATCTCCAATAAACCACTAGAAAATCAGAAATGGCGCTGAGGCTCACGCAGTAGAGTGCTTGCCTTGAGCTGAAGAGCACAGGGATAGTGTCTAGGCTCAGAGTTCAAACCCCACACCTGACAAAAAGAAAAAAAGATAAAAGAAAATGAGAAGTGGCATTCTGGTTCAAAGTGGTAGAGAGCTAGTCTTGAGCACAAAGAGGCTCAGAGACAGTGCCCAGGCCCCGAATTCAAAACCCATGAATGACAAAAATCAATCAATCAATCAATCAATCAATAAAGGTCACCCTCAACCCCAACTCTCTGCTGACCCCAGACTCAGGCCACCTGGTTGGTTCCCCTGGCCCCTGGACCCTATGGCCTACACATCTCTGTCACTTGTGTCCACAGCTGTATGACATGTATTCGGGAGTCATGCAGTATTTGCCCGGAAGACACAATCACATCTATGACTTGATAGAGGACCTTAAGGCCTTTGTAGCGTCCAGAGTCAAGGTCAATGAAGCCACACTTGACCTCCAAAACCCTCGAGATTTCATCGACTGCTTCCTTATAAAGATGCACCAGGTACACGCTTCCCCCCGCCCCAGCCCTGTTCTTTCTCCTCAAAGTCCTGCTGGGGTCAGTTAATCCTTATGTGCATGTGGTGGAAGAAAAGAGGAAGTATTTCATACAGTTCACAGTGTGTGTTTGTGTGTGTGTGTGAACACATGCATGCACATGCGTGTACCCACCAGTACTGGGGCTTGAACTCAGGGCCTGGGTGCTATCCCTGAGCTTTTTCCTTCAAGGCTAGTGCTCTACCACTTGATCCACAGCTCCACTTCTGGCTTTTTTGGTGGCTCAGTAGAGATAATAGTCTCATGGATTTTCCTGACTAGACTGGCCTTGAACCTTGACCCTCAGCTCTCAGCCTCCTGAATATCTAGGATAACAGGTGCAAGCCACTAGCGCCCAGATAGAAATTTGCATCTTTGCATTGCAACATTTTCTTTTTTTTTTTTTCATTTTGCTTATGTGGTGCTGAGGAATCAAACCCAGGGCCTCATGCATGCAAGGCAAGCACTCTGCCACTGAGCCACCTTCCCAGTCCCTAATGTTTTTTTCTTTTCTTTTTTTTTGTTGGTCATGGGGCTTGAACATTGCAACATTTTCATGATAGAGTATTAGCCTTGAGCACAGAGAGGCTCAGGGACAGAGCCCAGGCTCTGAGTTTCAGCCCCAGGGTTGACAAAAACAAAACAAAACAGAAAGGAAGTTTTAATGACACACTGCTTTCTTCTCCCAGTTCTCTCTTTCCCCCTCTTCCCCATCTCCCCCTCACCCACCCTGTGTCTGCCTTACTATTTTTCAGATTCACTCCTGCTTCTGGACTTTGTTTACCCATAATGTTATATTTTGGAAAACAATTGCCTTTCTGGGCACCAGTGGCTCATGCCTGTATTCTTAGGCATTCAGGAGGTTGAGATCTGAGGATCATGGTTCAAAGCCAGCCCAGGCAGGAAAGTACATAGTAGACTCATCTCCAATGAACCACCAAAATAAAATCTGGAAGTGGTGCTGTGGCTCAGGTGGTAGAGGGCTGGCCTTGAGCAAAATAGCAAAGGGACAGCACCCAGGCCCTGAGTTCAAGCCCCAGGACTGATACACACACACACACACACACACACACACACACACACACACACACACACAATCTACTTCGTACATGGGTGGAGGGGAACCCCAATAACACAGAGACAGAAGAAGGTAATCCTATTCATGATCTCCTTCTCTCCCAGGATAAAAAGGATCCACACACAGAATTCAACCTCAGGAATTTGGTGCTCACCACCCTCAATCTCTTCTTTGCTGGCACAGAAACAGTGAGCTCGACCCTACGCTATGGAATGTTGCTCTTAATGAAATATCCTCAGGTAGAAGGTGAGCTGAGCTGGCATCTCCCACTCCTCTAATAGGAAGGAAGGAAGATACCATCTTGAAAGGGCAAGATATAACAGGTACTGGTGGCTCATACCTGTCATCCTAGCTATGGAGGCTGAGATCCGATGATCATGGTTCAAAGCCAGCCTGGGCAGAAAAGTCTGTGAGACTCTTATCTCAATAAACCAGCAAAAAATGGTAGAAGTCGGGGCTGGGAAGGTGGCTCAGTGGTAGAGCGCTTGCCTCGCATGTATAAGGCCCTGGATTTGATTCCTCAGCACCACATAAGCAAAAAGAAAAAAGCTGGAATTGGCGCTGTGGCTCAAGTGTTAGAGCGCTAGCCTTGAGCTGAAGAGCTGAGGGACAGCGCCCAGGCCCAGAGTTCAGGCCCCATGACTGGACCCCCTTCCCCCCAAAATGCTAGAAGTGAAGTTGTGGGTCAAGTGGTAGAGCTCTAGCTTTGAGTGGAAAAGCTCAGACTGTGACCAGTCCCTGAGTTCAAGCCCCAGTACCAACACAAAAAACCAACAAAATAAAACAAACAAAGCACACAAGGCGTTTACCTTCAGAGGTGAACAATAATTTGTAATGGAGATAAAGCAATCTCTCCATCTAAGGATCTATAACTCTATGGTATTTGCAAAATCCAGACCAGCATCTGCCTTAGCTACTCTGACAGAAACACCTGCTGCCCTTTCTTGCCTTCTTTTGCTCAAGGCTAGCACTCTACCACTTGAGCCACATCACCATTTCCAGCCTTTACTGTATATATGGTACCCAGGGCTTCATGCAGGCTAGGCAAGCACTCTATCTCTAAGCCATATTCCCAGCCCTTTCCTACCTTCTTTTGTGAAATGTCTTCCTGGATTCTTCCAGCTAAGATCCAGGAAGAGATTATCCAGGTGATTGGACCACACCGGATTCCCACAGTGGATGACCGCATCAAGATGCCCTACACGGATGCCGTCATCCATGAGATCCAGAGACTGACAGACATCGTGCCCCTGGGAGTCCCCCATACCGTCATCCGGGACACTCACTTCCGAGGCTACTTTCTGCCCAAGGTGGTAGTTTTCACTGTCACCTCTTTATCTTCTCCACGCCCCCCCTTCCCTCTTTCTCACACACACACAATGCTCCTTATTCAACACTGACTTTTTCTTAATTCCCTCCATCTTCTCACCAGGGCACAGATGTCTATCCACTACTTGGCTCTGTCCTCAGAGACCCCAAATACTTCCAACACCCAAATGACTTTTATCCTCAGCACTTCCTGGATGAACAGGGACGCTTCAAGAAGAATGATGCCTTTGTGGCCTTTTCTTCTGGTAAGTTCCCATGGTCTATGAAACTCCCCCCAATAAGGACTAGAGCCATCTCTTCAAGTCCACATCAGAACGGGATGCAAAGGGCTATGTCTCAGAATCATTAAATCCTAGAATCCCAGAATCAAAAAATCTGAATGACTGACTCCATGATTAGGGGGAAAAATGGTAGCTCTGGGCATGGTGGTGCATGCTTGTAATCCCAGCATTTGAATAGTTGAGGCAAGAAGATGGAGAGTTCCACTTTAGAACAACAGTACCACTGGACAAGGCCTCAACAGATTTCTTTCCATTAAGAAACAAATTTAACACAGGCGCTGGTGGCTCAAGCCTGTCATCCTAGCGACTCAGGAGGCTGATATCTGAGGCTCACAGTTCAAAGCCAGCCAATGCAGAAAAATCCATTTCACTCTTATCTCCAATAATCCACCAAAAAGCTGGAAGTGGTAGAGTGCTAGTACTCTATCACTCTATTCAAACGGTAGAATGTTAGCCTCAAGGTTGGGGAGGGCGGAGAATTCAAGCCCCAGGACTGGCACCAAAAAAAAAAAAAAGAAAAAAAATCCCTAGACCCTGTTCAACCCTCCCACCTCTTTTGTACCCTTAGGAAAGCGGATCTGCGTTGGGGAGGCCTTGGCCCGCATGGAACTCTTCCTCTACTTCACCTCCATCCTTCAGAACTTCTCCTTACGCTCACTGGTGCCACCTGCTGACATTGATATCACCCCCAGAATTTCAGGCTTTGGCAACATCCCCCCAGTTTATAAGCTCTGCCTGGTGGCCCGCTGAATGCCCCCTACTGGGCCAATAAGATCCTTCCTGTTGCAGAGGGTCCATGTCTCCTCCTTCTCTTCCTCATCCACCAATAAAGAACCTCCTCTTTGTACTGGCCCCATCTCACTTCCTCTTCCTCTTCCTCCTCTTCCTTCTGCTTGTCTTCCTCTTCTCAATATCACACTAAGAGTTGGCACTCTCCCTATTTTCCCTCAGGCTTTAAGGTCAGGAAGAGTCATCTACAAACACACAGCTGGATATTTTATTCAGGAGGAGAACACATTAAAAAAAAATTATGCCCTGTCCAAGATTTTGTGAGTTAACACAAACTCCATACCCTTCTTGCCTTGAAGTCTGCCTACACCTAACTCTGGTACCTTTTTTTTTCTCTCTACATCTTTAGGTTGTCTCTTTATTTTCCTCTTCTTTTCTGCCATGGATGTTACCAAAATGTAGTCCCTAATCCATTTCTCCTGTATTTCCATCTTCCTTCTCCCTCCTCCCTCAATAAAGTCAACACCAAACTCAAGACTGTTAAATGTAAGTAAGTTTATTGTGCATCGTGCAAACACTCAGATTAACTATGCTAACAACTTGAAATTGAGATAGGAAAATGAAGAGCACAAAGAAGGGAGAGTAAAAAGAAAAAGTAAAATATAGAGTCAAGAGCTCTGGGCTCACAAGAAAACCCCAACGAGAACTGAAAATGACCCCATGAAGGTCCTGGACCTTCAAAAAACCTAGGTGAAAATGTCACTAACAGCCAGGTGCTGGTGGCTCATGCTTATAGTTCAGCTACTCAGGAGGCTGAGATCTGAGAATCATGGTTCAAAGTCATTCCAAGCAGGAAAGTCCATGAGGGTCTTATCTCAAATGAAGCACTGAAAAGCTTGAAATGGAGCTGTGGCTCAAATGGTAGAGTGCCAATCTTCAGCACAAAAGCTCAGGGACTGTGCCCAGGCCCTGAGTTCAAGCCCTAAGACCTCAGGGACAGTGTGTAGGTCCTGAATTCAAGCCCCAAACTGGCACACACACACACACACACACACACACACACACACACACACACACACACACACACACATGACACTAACAGTATCATCAGGCTTGATCTTTATTTTCACCCTTCTGTATTGTGTGTGTGTGTGTGTGTGTGTGTGTGTGTGTGTGTGTGTGTCCTGGGGCTTGAACTCAGGGCCTGAGCACTGTCCTTTTCCCTTTTCTGCCCACAGCTAGCCCCTACTACTTGAGCCACAACTTCACTTCCAGCTTTTTGGTGGTTCATTGGAGATAAGAATCTCGGGGGGTTTCTTGTCCAGCTTGGCTTCATCAAACTGGGACATTCAGAACTCAGCCTCCTGTGTAGCTAGGATTATGGGTGTGAGTTACCAGTGTTGGCCTATTGGCTCTTTTTATTCTTTTATATTTTTTGAAAGCTTACTTTAGTATTTACTAAGAGTACAAGAAAGGGGGCAATTGATATGAAAAGTCCATGGCTGGGCTGGGAATGTGGCTTAGCGGTAGAGTGCTTGTCTAGCATGCATGAAGCCCTGGGTTCTATTCCTCAGTACCACATGAACAGAAAAAGCTGGAAGTGGGCATGTGGCTCAAGTGGTTGAGTACTAGCCTTGAGCAAAAGAAGCTCAGGGACAGTGCCCAGGCCCTGAGTTCGAGCCCTAGGACTGGCAAAAAGAATATAGAAAAAGAAGAAAAGAAAGGTCCATGGCTACATATGTCTTTGGATGAGGAAATCTTCCAGGCTGGGTAGTAACTGTGGTTTCAAATCTGTGTTGGGCCAAGGTTAGATGCTGGACTCTGAGCTTGGCCTGAGGTCTCTGGGGTTGATACTGGGCCCCATCAGGGTGGGAAGGGCAGAAACTTTGCTCCGCCCATATGCACAAACTCTGCCCATCTGCTTGCTTCTGGGCCTAGGAGACAGGCTTTAGAAGAACACAGGTCTGGTGGAGCTATTGACTGGTGGCTGGGGATGAGTAGGATGTGGATGTTGGCTCAGGACTTCCATGAATAACTGCCTGTCTGCCTAGAGCTGACTCCAAAAGGAGGGAGCATCAAGGCTTATTTGGATCATCTGTGGGCTGCTGAGGTGGGGTAGGGCCCTATTCTCCTTCTGCAAGCGAATCATTTGTGTGTAATTTCTGGGCAAGAAGCATTCTGGTATCTACATATATTAGTTATCCAAACAACCAGACAGAGGAAAAAAAAAAGACACTTTCTTCTCTTCCTTGGTTTTCTCCTTCATGACATTTCGCCAATCTTACTCCCTGCTCCAAACTCTCAGAAAGAAAGCACCCCACCCAAACACTCAGAAACACAAATGTTTTCAATATTCTAGTCACAACCTCTTAATCCCCAGGCTCACCTTCCTCTTCCCTGGCCTGGCCTGGCACTACCTGATTGACTGGATCTTTGGTTAAGATTGCAGAGAACATAAATAGTAGGTAGAAGATCAAATCTCTTTCCTCTTAAGAGACATGTGTGTGCATGCGTGCACTGAATGTGGGGCTTGAACTAGGGGCTTGGCACTGTCCCTGAATTTTTGTGTTCAAGACTGATGCTCTACCACTAGAACCACAGCTACACTTCTGACTTGATAGATAAGGATCTCAACAAAATTTCTTGCCTGGCTGGCTTTGAACCATGATCCTCAGATCTCAGCCTCCCGAGTAGCTTGGATTATAGGCGTGAGCCACTGATGCCCAACCTTAAGAAACTTTTTAAAATCTTTTTTTTTTTCAGCACTGAGGACTGAACTCAGGGTCTTTTCAACTCTTCAGGCAGTGCTCTTCCACTGAGCTAAATCCCCACTTTCAGGTTTACAAGGATTTTCCCCACAAGAACTATAGGCAATAAAGTAACAAAAATAGAAAAGAAAGCCAGGCATGGGTTTTATTTTACTCAGTAGACACTATGTAGAAAATGAACTGTGCAATTTGTGGGGCAGGGACTGGAACGGGGAACTAGGGGAAAGCGAAGGAAGAGTGACATTGTCCCAAACCACAAAGATAATCATTACCTGACTTATGGAAAGGTGACCCCCTGTGCAACACCTTCATAATATCAACAAAATCATATTAACAATAAATGAGAAGTCTTCATCTTCCAACTCTTTTAGCATCTGCCTAATTTTCCTTCCCTACTCTCACATGAGTTTAGGAAAGTGGCGGAGTTGTCTGGGGTTTTCCCCTGGTTTAATGTTTTTATTCACAGCTTATTCAGGGCCATCTCCTGGTGTTTCATACAGAAAAACAAGCAAGGCTGGGTGATCAGGAGTGGTAGGTAAGGACATGGAATGTAGCAGGGTACCAGTGCTCATGCCTGTAATACTCTTTCCTCACGAGGCTGAGATCTGAGGATCTCAGTTGAAAGCCAACCTAGGCAATCCAAGAGACTGACTCTGATTTCTAATTAGCCACCAAAGTGTTCAAAGCAGAGGTGTAGCTCAAGGGGTAGAGAACCAGCTTTGGGGTACAGGGAAGAGAGGGAAGCTCAGGGAGAGTGCCCATGCTCTGAGTTCAAGCCCCTAGGACCCGTGAACTCAAAATAAATAAGCCAGGCACTGGTGGCTCCTACTCAGGAGCCTGAGATCTGAGCATCACAGTTCAAAGCCAGAATGGGCAGAAAACTACTCACCCAGACTCTCATGTCCTATGAACCACTCGCAAACTGGAAATGGAGCTGTGGCTCAGAATGGTAAGAGTGCTAGCCCTGAGCACAAAGAGCTCAGAGAGAGTGCCTAGGCCCAGGACCAAATACCTAGATAGATAGATAGATAGATCGATAGATAGATAAAAAATAAAATAAATAAAATAAAACAAAGAAGTATGGAAATTCTTTAGCAAATGGCATAAAGCTGCCTGGAACTTGGCTTCTGTTAAAGGCCATAACCAGGCTTGGAGCTGTAGGGTCTGATTGTGGTCAGCCATGCACGCAGACTTTGAATGAGAGCTGCTGCTTCTGCTTGGAACTCAATCTCCAGACTCGCCTTTCTCCTTCAACTGGAAATCCCTACCCAGCTTTACCCTGCAGCCTGGATCCACAAGCTAGACTCCATTGTATGTGCACATTCCGCCCTCCTTCACTCCCTCTCTCTGTTCACCAAGCCTCACCCACAAGTTCCTACAGATACCCCCAAAAACAACATTAATTCATATGAATATAAGTTGTTCAAAGGAGTTTCAACATATGCTTTTTTGTCTGTGTGCCAGTACTGGGGCTTGAACTCCGCCTGGGCAAGGCTAACACAGTACCAATAGAGCCACAGCTCCATTTCCAGCTTTTTGGTGGTTCATTGGAGATAAGTGTCACACGGACTTTCCTCCCCTGGGCTGGCTTTAAACCTCAGTCCTCAGACCTCAGCTTCCTGAGTAGTGAGGGTGACAGGGGTGAGCCATTGGCACCTGGCTTTTTTTGGTCAGTTGTGGGGCCTGAACTCTGGGCCTGGGTGCTGTCCCTCAGCTCTTCAGCTCAAGGCTAGCACTTTACCACTTGAGCCACAGTGCCACTTCTGGCTTTTTCTGCTTATGTGGTGCTGAGCAATCGAACCCAGGGCCTGATGCATGTGAGGCAAGCACTCTACCACTGAGACACCTTCCCAGCCCTACACCTGGCTTTTATCAGATGCTTTTTATGAAGGCTGTATCAACTCATATACACCCATCAAAACAGCCAAAGAGATAGCTCCTTGGTCTCCTTGGTTCCAAAAGCTCAGAGAGCCAAGTCATCTCTTCCAGGGCATATGAAAATGAAGAAAGAAGATTCTAGCCAGGCATTGGTACTGATGCCTATAATCCTTCTAGAGGCTGAGATCTGAGCATTAGAGTTTGAAGTCAGTCAGGGCAGGAAAGTCCATGAGACTCTTAACACCAAAAAAAAAAAAAACCCCAAAACAAAACAGTGGAGCTGTAGTCTCATGATGGAGTGCTAGTTTGAGGCACCAAAGTTAAGGGACAGAACCCAGACACCAAGTTCAAATCCCACAACCAGCATAAAAGATAAAAATAAAAAAGAGCATTCTAAAATCCGAGCTTCATACTTGCTCTTAACCTCAGGGAAACTGAGGGTCTGGCCAGGGGGTAAAGAGAGATATTTCTTTTTTTCTTTATTGAATATTTTCTTGAGTTCACCCTCACTTTCTCATTTTGTTCTGAGTCACTATGACTGACAAGTGTCTCTCCCATGTGACTCTAAACATCGATCCCTCATTCCAAGTTCCGGAAAACATCAACAAGAGCAAACACACATGACCTCTTTGTCCTTAAGTCCATCTATTTGCCTATACGAAGCCCATTCCAGGTGGGCTCACTGGAGCCCAGCTCAACTCTCAGACCACTTCCTGATGCATCCTTCACGAAGCACTAAATTCTCCAAATGTCTCTTATTCAAGGAGAAGGAGAAAAAACACAGAGGGGAGAAGAGAGGCCCAGGCGAGGGGCTAGCCCAGGTGTACACCCCGATCTAGGGTAGCAATTTCTGCCAAGCCTTTGTTAATCCTTTTTCCCACCTCTTCCCTCTCCAAAATCAACAAACAACTTGTCTATCTCTCAGCTTTGTTCTCTGCCCTTTATTCACTCCACATATGGCTCAGAGTCCAGCACTTAAAAATGAGAGGAAGCAAACTGCAAGCACCAGGCCAGGCCCGAGGATGCCAGCCTCACCCAACTCCCACCCATCCAAAGTCCTGAAGCAGGTGGCCAACTTCTGCTGTGTCAACAATCAATGCCTGTATATTGTTTATCCAGGGCCTCTGCCAGGGTCTGTGACACAACCCACATGGGCCCAAACTCACAAGTTATATGGCGTCATCTTTATGCCTTCTCCATGGAACTTTGGTGACCTCCTGAATCTACTCTTTCCCTACATAGGGCCCCAAGCTCAAGGCCAGCCTGATATCTCTCCATCTCTGAGTTTAGTTCACGCTGACTGGACAACTATTCCAATCTTAGGACCCCCCTTAGGCAGGGAGGGCTGGGCCAGGCAACGAAGAATGGAAGGGAGTGAGTTCTAATCCTGCTTTCTCACAGGGCACCCGGGTCACTTTAGTGGAGATGATGAGGCGGTGTCTTCATCACCACTAGCAATCAAAAGATAAGGAAGCCAGGAACCAGTGTGCATGCCTGTCATCCTGACAGCATAAGAGGCTAAGATCTGAGGATCTTGGTTCAAAACCAGCCTGGGAAGAAAAGTTCATGAGACTCTTTATCTCCAGAGAACCAGCAAAAAGCCAGAAGTGGAGGTGTGGCTCAAATGGTAGAAGGCCAGCCTTGATCATAAATAACTAAATAAAGCTAAAGGACAATGCTGTGGCCCTGAGCTCAAACCCCAGGACTTGCATAAGAGAAAAAGAAAAAGAAAAACAGGCTGAGACCTGGTTGCTCATGCCTGCCATCCTAGCTTCTGAAGATGCTGAGATCTGAGGATCTTGGTTCAAAGCCAGCCTGGGAAGGAAAGTCCATGAAACTCTTATCTCCAGTGAACCACCAGAAAACCAGAAGTTGAACAGTGGCTCAAAGCGATCGAGTGCTAGTCTTCAGCAAAAGAGGGATAGCACCCAGGTCCTGAGTTCAAGCCCCACATTTGACGAGACAGTTTCCCATGTTTGTATTCTAGACATAATCCCTGGGTTCTGTACACAAGACACCTACATGTAAAATAGGCGACAGTCATAAATAACTACAATAATAGAAGTGATATAATAAATTGAGTGCACTTGCCTACAGGTAGGAAATTCAGTGGGAGTTCTTTGCAAATCAGACCCCTTTGTGGATGGGATTTTCTGCCATACTGGTAGTTATTATTTCTAAACTTGGTCTGTTCCTCTGCCCATGGTGACCTTGGAATTCTGTCTTCAGGGCTGTGTGGTGTTCCACTGAAATGTGACTCTGGTGGCCGACCACAGGCAGTGGTAGGTCCTGGCTCCATGGCCCCCAAATGTGACCTTCAACCTGGGGTCTCAAGAGACAGCACAGGGCTTGAGTCACAGTAGGTCCACATCTGGGCTCAGGGGCTCACACTAGATTCCTGTTGGGCTTTCTTACCCCACACTCACAGTTCTAGATCTTTCTTAGCCAATCTATCCAATCTATCACCCTGCCCCTCCCAAATCTCACATCATTGAAACATTGTCAAATCCATATCCAACTATCTTCTACCAATCATTTGAGTGAGACCCACACCTCTCCTGAGACCCTAAAAAAGTCCACCCATGGCAGGGAATGCATCTTAGTGGTAGAATGCTTGCCTAATATGAATCAAGCCCTGGGTTTGACCTTAGTACCACATAAACAGAAAAATCCAGAAGTGGCACTGTGGCTCAAGTGGTAGAGTGCTAGCCTTAAGCAAATGAAGCTCAGGGACAGTGCCCAGGTCCTGTGTTCAAGCCCCAGGACTGACCAAAAAAAAAAAATCTACCCATACTTTCAGAGTCCTTGGTCTGAGAGACTTTCTATTTAAAGCTTCAGGAACTCTACCCTAGTTTTGAGGATAATAGATCCACAGTCTTGGGATATTTTCTGGTCAAATGCCACCAGCCTGGCCTGTGCCTGGTGAATCTCTGAGGTCTTCCCCTCCCAAACTCACTGGCTACATCTCAAACTAGTTGCAATGTATGGTCAGGGAGAAGGGGGGAAGGAGGTCTTGTGCAAGGAAAAGGAGACAGTTATGCAATCAAGGCCAAAGGCCAGCCTTCCATCCCACAGAGTATAAAGGCAGCCAGAACAGCTGCTCAGCCACCACCCTCTGACTGGCATCCTGGCCGCCACCATGCTGGCCTCAGGCATGCTGCTGGTGGCTGTGCTCACCTGTTTGATTGTCATGGTGTTGATGTCTGTCTGGAGGCAGAGGAAGCTCTCAGGAAAGCTGCCTCCTGGCCCCACCCCATTGCCCTTCATTGGAAACTATCTGCAGCTCAACATGGAGCAGATGTACAAGTCTCTCATGAAGGTGTGTTGGTAGATGGGTGGGATGGGGTGGTGGGAGGGAACTGCCCAGATTCACTGGGCACTGGCCACGGATGGACAAACTAGAGTCTTAAATGGGGAATTTTTTTCTTGGAGCTGGAGGGAATTTAGAATTTAGAAGCCAATTTTTATCTTGGTACTGTGGCTTATGCCTGTCATTTAGCTACTCAGGAGACATCTGAGGATTGTGGTTCAAAACCAACCTGGGCAAGAAAGTCCATGAGACTCTCATCTCCCAAGCACTGGAAAACCGGAAGTGGGGCTGTGGCTCCAAGTGGCAGAGCGCTAGCCTTGAGCAAAAGAGCTCAGGGACAACACCCAGACCATGAGTTCGAGCCCCAGGATGGGCACCAAAAAATAAAAATAAATGTGTTTTATTTTCTGAGTAGGAAAAGACCATGTGTGGGAATATTCAATCTGTTGACTTGGCCAGAGTTTCAGGGGAATCAAAACCAATGCACCCTGGTACCTGGCTCCTTAAATTATTCCCATCTGCCCTTCCCCCAGATGAGTGATCGCTTCGGTCCAGTGTTCACGGTTTACCTGGGCCCTCGGCGGGTCGTGGTGCTGTGCGGTCAGGAGGCCGTGAAGGAGGCGCTGGTGGACCAGGCTGAAGAGTTCAGCGGGCGCGGGGAGCAGGCCATCTTCACCTGGCTCTTCCAAAGCTATGGTGAGCAGGGTGGATGTCATCGTGTAAAGGGATGTGTGGCCTCAGTTTCCCCAGCCTTTCTCCTCTGGATCTTTCAAGTTTCTGCCTTGCCTCATGTCCTCCTGGCGTCTTCCCACCTTGCCTTCCCGTTCTCTGTGGACAAAAGTCATTCACCGTTTTTCACTTCAAGTCACTTCCCCTCTTTCTGCCTCTCCCCTCTCTCCTCCTCCCTCCTTTCCCACTCCCTCCATTGGCTGCCTCTGTGGCTGGTGGGGCAGTGTGGGGGCTGCCTCCTCTTCTCTGTGCCTTGGGGACCCTGTCTCCCTTCTCTGTCTCTTTCTGATGATCTGCAGATCTTTGGCGCCGAGTCTGAGGCTTTCTTTCCTCGCTCCTTAGTGTTCTCTCTTTTACCTATAGGATTTCCTTCCTCTCTTGCTCTCTGCAGAATCTGGCATCCTGGCCTCCCTGCTGCCCCAGTGTCTCCAAGGGTACTCTGCAGGTCCATTCCATATTCTGCAGGTCACCCTGGTCTGATCCCACCCTCCTTCCCAGCATGACCATCAGCCTGACCCCTTCTCTTGGCCAGGTGTGGTCCTCAGCAATGGGGAGCGGGCCAAGCAGTTGAGGCGCTTCTCCATCACCACGCTGCGGGACTTTGGACTGGGCAAGAGAGGCATCGAGGAGCGCATCCAGGAGGAGGCAGGCTTCCTCATCCAGGCACTGAGGGACACACATGGTAGCTGCTCGACTGGGGTGGGTGGGGAGGAGGAGGGGGAGGGGAGGAGGAAGGCCCTGGGGTTCAGCCACCCTCCAAAATCTTTCCCAAGTGGTCAGACTGGCCTCAGAGCACTCCATTTGGTTGTATTCCAGGAAGACAGATATTTCCTGGGTTCCCCAGCATCCCCTGCTTTCCACCCCTGCAGACCCCCCACCCTCCACTCCTGCAGACCCCTCACCAGACTCCTCACCGTTCATCCCTGCAGATTCCCCACCCTCCACCCCTGCAGACCTCTCACCAGACCCCTCACCCTCTACCCCTGCAGACTGCTCACCCTGTACCCCCGCAGACCCTTCATCCTCCACCCCTGCAGACCCTCCACCCTCCACTCCTTCAGACCCCTCACCAGACTCCTCACTGTTCACCCCTGCAGATTCCCCACCCTCCACCCCTGCAGACCTCTCACCAGACCCCTCACCCTCCACCCCGGGAGACCCCTCACCAGACCCTCACCCCACCCCTGTAGACACCTCACCCTTCTCCCCTAAAGATCCTCACCCTCTACCCCTTCAGATCCAGACCCTCTACCCCTACAGACCCCTCACCCTCCACCCCTGCAGACTCTCACCCTCTAACCCTGCAGACCCCTCACCCTCCACCCCTGCAGACCCACACCATCTACCCCTACAGACTCCTCATCCTCCACCCCTGCAGACCCCAACCCTCCACCCCTGCAGTCCTCACCCTCCACCCTTGCAGACCCCCACCATCTACCCCTGCAGACCCTCAACCTCCACTCTTGTAGACCCTCACACTCCACCCCTGCAGACCACCACCATCCACACTGCAGACCCCATCATCTACCCTGCAGACCCCACCATCCACTCCTGCAGACCTCCACCCTCCATCTTTGTGGACCCCAATTCTCCACCCTTGTAGGCTCTTCCATAGACCCTCCACCCTGCAACCCTACAGGCCCCTCCATAGACCCACACCCCCATCTCTGCAGGCCCTTCCATAGACCCTCCACTCCAGCAGTTATCTTCATACATCTCCCACCCATCACCCCTGCAAGCAAACCCCCTCCACCCCCTGCAAACTCCCCCATCCTTTATCCCCTTCCCTCTTGCAGGTACCTTCATAAACCCCTCACTCTCTACCCTGCAGGCACCTTCATAGATCCCACCTTCTACCTGAGCAGAACGGTCTCCAATGTCATCAGCTCCATTGTCTTTGGGGACCGCTTCAACTATGAGGACAAGGAGTTCCTGTCTCTCCTGCGAATGATGACGGGCAGCTTCCAGTTCACAGCCACCTCCACTGGGCAGGTAACACACGCCACGCCCTGCCCCGACTCTATGAGCAAAACCCAGGTCAGAAAAATAACTTGAGAATAGCCAGGGCTCACTCCTGTCATCCTAGCTGCTCAGGAAGATGAGATCTGAGGATGGCAGTTTAAAGCCATCCCTGGCAGGAAGGTCTCTGAGGCTCTTATCTCCAATTAACCACCAGAAAATCAGAAGTAGAACTATGGCTCAAAATGGGTAGAGTGCTAGCCTTGAGCAAAAGAGCTCAGGGACTGTGCCAGGCCCTGAGTTCAAGCCCTACAGTTGACAAAACAAACTTGAAGGCCTGTGACTCAAGCCTGGATTTCCAGCTATTCAGGAGGCTGAGATCTAAGGATCTCATCCTGGGCAGGAAAGTCTGTGAGATTCTTATGTCTAATTAACCAGCAAAAAGCTATAAAGTGGAGCTGTGGCTCAAGAGGTAGAGCACCTGGGCAGTGGCAACACAGTCACGAGCCCAGGACTGGGCAGTGTGCATCTGTCAGAGACCATTCAGTTGGTTTGGTGCCACCTCACAGCCCAGGAGTCCAGTGGGTGGTGGTGCCCACGCTTTTACCAGCAGGCTCTGTTTTCAGGCCATGGTGGAAATGTCCAGGTGTCCTCAGAGACGTGCGTATTAGACACTTGCTCTAGGTCCTGCCATAACTGTTCAGATGTACAAAAGGGGGGGCTGGTTTTGAGGAGGCCTTGGAGGCAGGAGAATGGCAGATGGGGACCCCATGGCCTGGGGAGGGCAGTGACAATTGGGGTAGGGGTGTGATTTGGCCTTTGGTTCCACTGGAGATTGAACCCAGGCCTTGTGCATATTAGGCAAGTATTCTATAATCTGAACTATGTCCCCTAGTCCTTATTTTATTTATTCACTCATCTTTGTGAGGCAGAGTTGCCTCAAATGAGACCTTTCTGGACTCTGTTTCCAGAGAGGCTGGGATTCCCAGTGTGCGCTACACCACCTGGTGAATGTCTGTCTTTTCTCTGCTTTCTCTCTCCACCCCTCTCCCCCCCCCCAGCTCTTTGAGATGTTTTCCTCCATCATGAAGCATCTGCCGGGACCACAGCAACAGGCTCGTAAGGAGCTGAAGGGGCTGGAGGACTTCGTAATCAAGAAGGTGGAACAGAACCAGCGCACCCTGGACCCCAACTCCCCACGAGACTTCATCGACTCCTTTCTCATCCGCATGCAGGAGGTGTGTGCCGGAGGTGGGAGTGCAGGGAGGGAGGGAAGGCCAATGCCAGGCAGAGGGGACTCAGATTGGGCTGGGGTGGAGAGCAGAGGGCTATGCGAATTATATAAATTATCCTCAAGGTTGATTGTAATGAACATGGGTGTTCATCTACAGAGCCCTCATCCACAGAGAAGATAATCACAACCAAGTCTACTGCATTATCTATGCTAGGCATTTTTTGGGGGTTGGTTGTGGGGCTCAGAGTCGTGTGTGTGTGTGTGTGTGTGTGTGTGTGTGTGTGTGTGTGTGTTTGTGTATGAGTCAGTCCTGGGGCTTGAACTTAGGGCCTGGGTACTGCTCCTGAGCTCTTTTGCTCAAGGCTAGCACTCTACACTTGGGCCACAGTGCCACTTCCAGTTGTTGTTGTTTTGCTTGCTTGGTTGCTAGTTAGTTGGAGGTAAGAGTTGCATAGACTTTCCTGCCTACTCTGGTGTTGAACAGCAAATCCTCAGATCTCAACCTCCTGAGTAGCTGGGATTATAGGTGTGAGCCCTCGGTGCCTGGCCCATTGTAGATGTTGAATGAAGTTATATTAGGATCACAATGAGGAATCGCAGCACAGAGAGTGTTGATGATCTGCCTGAGCTCACATAGCGTGGAAGCTGTGCCATCTAGCTTACTCTTGGTCTGTCTCTGAGGCTAGTGCTTGAGGCCTGGCTCAGTTGGTAGAGCACCAGTCAATAAGCGAAAACATCAGGTACCAATGTTGAGTCCCAGTCTCAGCTCTTATAAAGAAAAAAAACCCTCAGAGGTTCGCCAGGCAAAGGTGAGAGGTATATTTTGGGCAGAGTCAGAATCCTGGGCAAAATTCTGCAAACTGGACAGAGCCTGGCAGATTCATTTTCCACCTGGACCTCACAGAGGTAGACTCTAAGGGAACCTTCCAGAAGATCCCGCTAAAGCATGGGAAGAGGGGTGAACTTGAAGGCCTCTCTTCCTGCAGGAGAAGAAGAAGCCCAATACAGAATTCTTCTTGAAGAACCTGGTGACCACCACACTGAACCTCTTCTTTGCGGGCACGGAGACCGTCAGCACCACCTTGCGTTATGGCTTCCTGCTGCTCATGAAATATCCAAATGTGGAGGGTAAGGCCTGGCAGAGGTAGGGAAAGAGAAGTGGGGGGTGGGGGCCCAGGCCCTAAAAGCTCCCCTAGGTCAGCTGCAATGTTTTGATTTTCCCAAGTACCTGGACCCTTACATGCGTTTGGCTATAATCAAGACAGGAGAGCCAGCCTGTAGATTTAGCTATTAAAGCCTTAGCTATGAAAACACTGGACATGGGTGGCTCAGGCCTGTCATCCTAGCTACTCTGGAGGCAGAGATATGAAGATCATGGTTCAAACACCATCCGGGCAGGAAACTCCTTGAGATTCTTATCTCCAGTGAACTACCAGAAGTGGAGTTGTGGCTCAAGATGGTAGAACACTAAGCCTTGAGTAAAAATAGCTCATGGACAGTGTCCAGGCCGCAAACTCAAGCCCCCCACCCCCACCAACAGAAAAATGATGCTAACTGAATGGATTGATAAATTGCTGATCTAAACCACAAAGGACTCCTTCTCCAAGCCACACCCCTAAGACTGCTCCTTTAATACTGACAGAATCCTGAGCTAATGGCCAACCCCACTGTGAATGAATGGTGAGCTGTTTGCCTGTCATCCATTGTTCCAAGTCCTTCATCCAGTTTTCTTTCCTTTCCTTTCCTTTTCTCTTCTCTTCTTTTCTCTCCTTTCCTCCCTCCTTCCCTTCTTTGTTCCCTTCTTTCCTTCCTTCCTTCCCCCTCTCTCCTTCATTCCCTACTCTCCTTCCTTCCTTCTTTTCTTCCTTCCTTCCTTTTCTTTCTTCCTTTCTTTCCATTTTTGTGGGTTATGGGGCTTAAGCTCAGGACCTGGGCATTGTCCCTGAGTTTTTTCCCTCAAGGCTAGTGCTCTACCACTTTGAGCCACAGCACCACTTCTGGTTTTCTGGTGCCTTTTTGGAGATAAGAGTCTCATGAACTTTCTTGCCATGCTGGCTTTGAACCCTGATCCTTAGATCACAGCCTGCTGAGTAACTAGGGTAGCAGGTGTGGACCACCAGTGCCTGGATCTTTTCTTTCTTCTTTGTTTTTTTTTTTTTTGACTCTCATCCCTGCCTTGAAGCTTTCAGATATCTAAACACATTTCCCTTTCTCTCCCCACCCCCAGCCAAAGTCCATGAAGAGATTGATCGGGTCATTGGCAAAAACCGGCAGCCCAAGTTTGAGGATCGACTGAAGATGCCCTACACAGACGCTGTGATTCATGAGATCCAGAGATTTGGAGATATGATCCCCATGGGGCTGGCCCGCAGGGTCACTAAGGACACCAAGTTCCGAGAGTTCTTCCTGCCCAAGGTGCCACTTGCCTGCCCCTGGGATCCCAGCACCCCAAGTCCCTAACAGGCACGACTCCCTGGCTTCCCATCTTAATCAAAGACTCCCTCACCCACCCTGTCCCTTCTTTCCTACTGAGAGACTTCTGTATCCTAGCTCCCTGCAACCTCACCTCGCCCCCAACTTCCCCTGCTCAAGAGATCCAAGCCTGGCCTTCTTAAATCAAGAGATGATGCCAGGTGCTGGTGGCTCACACCTGTAATCCTAACTGCTAAGGAGGCTGAGATCTGAGGATCACAGTTCCAAGGTGGTCTGGCACAAAAATCCCCATGAGACACTTATCTCCAATAAACTCCCCCAAACCTGGAAGTAACATTGTGGCTCACGTGGTAGAGCACTGGCATTGAGCACAAAGAGTTCCAGGGACAGCACCCAGGACCTGAGTTCAAAACCCACAATTAGAGAGGGGGGGGGGGGAGGGAGAGAGAGGGAAATCCAAGCTCTTGTGACTCAGGCCTTGTCATCCTAACTATTCAGGAGGCTGAGATCTAAGGATCAAGGTTCGATGCCAGCCCAGACAAGAAAGTCCAGGAGACTCTTATTTAGAATTAACCACAAAAAATGCTGAAAGTGGAGCTGTGTGTTCAAAGCAAAAAACAGGTCAGGGACATTGCCCAGGCCCTGATTTTAAGCCCTAGGACGGGCACACACAGTACACACACACACACACACACACACACACACACACACACACACACACACACACACGCGCGCACAGACACAGAGGGCGAGGTGGTTAAATCTTCTTTACCCAGATCTCTTGCTTAAGAACAGGAATCTCCAGTTTGCAATGCATCCTTCTCAAGGGCCCCATATCTTATGGCCCTGGCACATCTAACTGCCAAGTCTCCTGCCCCTCCCCTCCCCCCCCCCCCCCCCCCCCCGCAACGACCTGCCTGGAGAGGTGGGAGCTGCAGATCTCCCAATCTCTGGCATCAGAAAGCCTCAAACCTGTGTCCATCAACCAGCTGGTGTCATTGAACGGGAGCTTCTACACACCCTCAGGGACCTTAACTTCATGTCCCCTGAAGCTCTTCCTTCCACCCTCCACTCCCACAGTTCCACTTCCTGGCCCCTCCTACCATTGTCCAAGGGGAGTTTCAGCACATTCATTTTTCCATCTGCATATCTCACTCTCCCTGCTCCTCTTCTTTTCAGGGTACCGAAGTGTTCCCCATGCTGGGCTCTGTGCTGAGAGACCCCAAGTTCTTCTCCAACCCCCAGGATTTCAACCCTCACCACTTCCTGGATGACAAAGGACAGTTTAAGAAGAGTGATGCTTTTGTTCCCTTTTCCATCGGTGAGTGACCAGCGTTGGCCACTAGGCCACAACTCGCAGCAAAGGGGTCAGCTGTATAGGCCAGCCCCCCCTGAGCTACAGCCTCATTAATGCCTTTCTTCAGCTTGGAAGTTCCTCTTGGATCTACTCTGCGATCAACTACATGCAATCCCCCAGCATCCTCAAATATCCTGTGTGGGGGCCCAGGAAAGCAAAAAGGGTTATCAGATCTCATTCAGAGATGAAGAAAATCAAGAACAAACAGTTAGCCAGGTTGTCCATGGCTCACACTAGCTGTCCATTCTAGCTACTTAAGGGGCTGAAAGCTGAGGATTGTGGTTCAAAGCCAGCCCAGGCAAGAAAGTCCTTGAGACTCTTAGCTCCAACGAACTACCAGAAAACTGAAAGTGCTGCTATAGCTTAAAATGGTAGAGCACTAGCCTCCATAGGAACAGCTCAGGACAGCACCCAGGCCTTGAGTTCAAGCTCCATGACTGACCAAAAATTATATTGTAAGTGGAGCTGTGGCTCAAGTGCTATAACCAACCTCGATGGGAAAAGCTAAAGGACAATGCCCAGCCCCTCAATGACTAGGGAAACTGAGGCTTAGAGAGGATGAGAGCCTTCATGGAAACTCTCCTGGACAAGAATTTTACAGCCCTCCCTACACCTATTAGAGAACTCAGCTGGGGATTTGGGGTTTGGGGGTGACATCTCAGAGAGAGAGTTGGCTTCACCCCTACCCTCCCTTCTCTCCTCTGCAGGAAAGCGGTACTGTTTAGGAGAAGGCCTGGCTAAAATGGAGCTCTTTCTCTTCCTCACCACCATCATGCAGAACTTCCGCTTCAAGCCCACGCAGGCTCCCCAAGACATCGACGTGTCCCCCAAATATGTGGGCTTTGCCACCATCCCACCCACCTATACTTTAAGCTTCCAGCCTCGCTGAGCCCCAGGGGATGTGCAAGGGGGGGGGGGTTGGAAGAGATGAGGATGGGGGGTAGGGGGACCGAGGGAAAGGCAGAGACTTAGGCCACTCAGCGTGGGGAGGGCAAAAATGAGGGGGGAAGGGAGGGGACCAGATGGGAAGAGGAAACAGACCAGATTGCTGACCTTGCTGAAGAAGATGGTCGCTTCCAAGATGAGATGCCAGAAAGGGAATTTTTAGTAATAAAAATAAACCAGTTCTTGTTTATTGAAGTTCTTATTTATTGAAGTTCTTACTTATTGTCAAATTCATATCTGGGGTCTGATGATGTCTGCACACACCACCCGTGCAATGGAAGCGGGGCTTGTGCATGTTTTGCAGATGAGCAGCATGCTCATGTTTAGGAAGTTAAAGTGGTTGCTGAGTGCTGCTATTCATGCGTGTCATCCTAGCTGCTCAAGAGGCTGAGATGTGAGGATCAGAGTTCAACACCAGCAGGGGCAGGAAAATTCCATGAGAAGTTTATCTCCAATGAGTCAGCAAAAAAACTGATAGTGGAGGTGTGGCTCAAGTGGTAGAGTGTTAGGCTTGAGAGAGAAAGCTGAAAGACAAACAAGCTCCCAGGCTTTAAGCTTAAACCCCGTGAGAGAGAATTGGGGGCCGGGGGGGGGGGGGGAGAAGAAAGCCAAGAAAAATTATGAAAGCTTAGGAAAAAAATAATTAAATCACCAAAAACTTTAATACCAGAAGAGGATTTTGGTATGAGCATGGCATCTCCAATGTCTTCAATGGTCAGAAGTAGAAGAAACACATTGCGTCCCTCTCTGGTGCTGGCCCAGTGTGTTGGAAGTACATCAGGCGCCAGCCATGACTCCCCTGCTCCCCCTCCTGGCCCATCATAGTATTGTCAAGCACAGATGGAAACCACCCAATTTCTTATCATTTCTAAAAACTATTATACTGGGATTGGAGGAGTGGCTCAGGCGGTAGAGTGTCAGCCAATGAGCATCAGATACTGAGGTCTGAGTCCTGCTACTATTGTGTGTGGTGTGGGGTGTGTGTGTGTGTGTGTCCTGAGGTTTGAACTCAGGACCTGGGCACTGTCTCTAAGCTTTTGTGCTCAAAGTTAGTACTCTACCACTTGACTCCCAGCTCCACTTCTAGATTTTGTTTTGGGTAGGTAATTGGTAGTTAATCTTGCTCAGGCTGCATTTGAACCATGATCCTCAGATCTCAGCCTTCTGAATAGCTACCATTTTAGGCATCAGTCACAGCACCCAGCTTCTATCTTAATTTTTAACCTTATAGTGTAATAGGGCTCATCATGCTTCACCACTTTAGAGTTTACTCTTAGCTTCTATAACTCTGTTTTTTTTTTTTTTTTTTGTGACTCCACCTTACAGGGCTGCACCCCACTCGTGAGACTAGTTCCTTATAGTTGAACACTTCAAGATAATATGTAGGTAATATTTCTTTCTGTTTCTAGGTAGCAATCATAGGGCTGGGAAGGTGGCTCAGTGGTAGAGTGCTTGCCTTGCATGCCTGAGGCCCTGGGTTCAATTCCTCAGCACCACATAAGCAAAAAGAAAAACAAAAGCCGGAAGTGGCGCTGTGGCTCAAGTGGTAGAGCGCTAGCCTTGAGCTGAAGAACTGAGGGACAGTGCCCAGGCCCAGAGTTCAGGCCCCACGACTTAATGGACCCCCCCCCCCCCAAAAAAAAAAGAATACTGGTAGCAATCATAGTAATGGGTTATGGAAATGATCATAGTAATGAGTTACAGGAATGATCATAGCAGTGGTTATGGTTATAGAAATGTCATGGTGACTATCATGTTTCCCCGCTTATGATTGCTTACAGCACTGTTTTAGCCCACTCATGCCTGCTTACAATACTGTTTTACCTTCTGTAACTTCACACTTGGCTTGAACCTGCAGGAAAGAACCAGGGACTTTCCTCCCCTGAGTGAATAAGTGGTGGTGGAGAGGCTTTCTGCTTTAAAAGGGGCCGTGAGACCAGACTGGGCACTGAACTTTTGTGCGCGCCCAACTGCGCAGTGTATTCCTGGCCGGCAATAAAAGACTTTCTTCTGGTTGTACTCTGAGTCTGTGTGGTCTCTTTGGGGGGGGTCTTCCCTTCAACGTTCTGGTAGCCCTAGCGAGATCCCAGGAGACAAGACCCCAGACAACCCCAGGTTGTCTTGGCACAGGGAGATAGAGTGAGTCGATTCCTAGGGGAGGCACCCCTTGGAATGCCCCAGGGCCCCAGGGACCGTACTCCTCTCCTCCTTGCTGCTCTCGAGGTAGCACCCCGAATTATTATTTTTCTTTATGTTTTCTTTTTGAATTGAAAATGTGATGAGCTGGGGGTTAGGTAAGACAATAAGTCTACTTGTTTTTAATCCTCATCACCCCATCCATCTTTATCTCCTACTTATCTCTCCCTAGCCCCCACCCCAAGTTGTAATGTTCACATCCCACATAGTGTCGACTATCGATGTTGCTGTGGTTCATCCGTTGTTCTGCGGTTTCTGTGATTCCCTTTCCCTTTTACATATTGCATTGTCGGTTAGGCAAAACACGAGGCTCAAAACACTGAGAGAAATGAAGAAAGAAAAAACAACAACACTAGAGAAAAGAATGAGCTATGTACAGGGTCTAAGGTGACTATCCGTTTCTATAAGTTGGAGTTCATATTAATATGCTTTATTATATATATATAGATAGATATAGATTTTTTCACTAAGCACTTGAGGTCCTGAGATCCCCTGTTAAGAATATTTTCTACATATTCTAGTTTTTAGAGATGAAGGAGATCGTGTGACCTGCTTTTCTTTGGGTCTGGCTTACTTCACTTAATATGGCTTTTTCCAAGTCTTTCCATTTCCTTATGAGTGTAACAATAACTAGGAGAAACACTAAGGCTCCTTGGCACAGGTCAAAACTTTCTTAATAATGATCCACAAACACAACAAGTCACAGAAAGCCTGGATAAATGGGATTGCATTAAACTGCAGAGCTTCTGCAGGGCAAAGGACATAGGTAGCAAAATATATGGAAACCCCATACAACAGACAAGGGTCTCATATCTAAAATATGCCAACAACTCAAGAAATTAAATTCCCCCCAAAAAACCCAAAGAAACATCCACCTCATTAAAAAGTGGGCTAAAGACCTTAAGAGAGACCTCTGTGAAGAGGAATGGCCAAGAGACACATGAAGAATTGCTCAACCTCTCTGCTTAGAAAGGAAATGCAAATCAAAACAACCTTGAGACTCCACCTTACACCAGTTAGAATGTCCATAATCAAGAAATCTAACAACAGATGCTAGCGGGGATGTGACCAAAGGGGAACGCTACTACCCTGTTGGTGGGAGTGCAAACTTACTCCACCACTCCGGAAAGCAGTGTAAAGGTTCCTCAAAAACTACACATAGAGCTCCCCTAGGACCAGGCAGCCCTACTTCTGGGAATCTACCCACATGTTCACAAACAAGGCCACACTAAACTGCCAGTACGATGATATTCATTGCCGCAGGATTTACCTTAGCCAAGATATGGAACCAACCCAAGTGCCCCTCAGTAGATGAATGGATCAAGAAAATGTGGTACCTATACACAATGGAATTCTATGGTTTCACCAAATTATTTTTTGACATCATAGAAAGTTGCTCGTTCTTGGAGACCTCTGGAGGAAAGTTTGTGTGGGGTGCCCTCTTGTGGACATCGTGGAGAGGCTGGACACAGCCATTGATCCAGTGACTCAAGTCTTGGTTAGGATTCTCTGGTTTGCGTCCTCCTGTGTGTGTGTGTGTGTGTGTGTGTGTGTGTGCGTGTGTGTGCACACATATGCATTGGTAGCCACCTAGTATTTGTTCTGTCATTGTTTCTGTTGGTGTTGGTCTTGTTATCGTTGTTTTAGAAAAAAAGAAATGGAGCCGGGAGCTGGTGGCTCACGCCTGTAATCCTAGCTACTCAAGAGGCTGAGATCTGAGGATCATGGTTCAAAGCCAGCCCGGGCAGGAGAGACCGTGAGACTCCTATCTCCAATAAACCACCAGAAAACCGGAAGTGGCGCTGTAGCTCAAGTGGTAGAGCGCTCGCCTTGAGCTGAAGAGCTGAGGGACAGCGCTCAGGCCCAGAGTTCAAGCCCCACAGCTGACAAAAAAAAAAAAAGAAAAAGAAAAAAAGAAACGGAGGGAAGTTCAAGCTGTCCCAGAACTCCTTTGAAGTACATGCTGAAACATTTCAGAAGCCAGCTGCTGGTTGCTCAGGCCTATAATCTTAGCTACTCAGGAGGCTGAGATCTGAGGATCATGGTTCAAAGCCAGCCTGGGCAAGAAACTCCATGAGACTCTTATTTCCAACAAACCATTCAGAAAACTGGAAGTGGTACTGTGGCTCAAGTGGTAGAGCGCTTGCCTTGAGCTGAAGAGCTGAGGGATAGCGCCCTGGCAGAGAGTTCAAGGCCCACAACTGACCCCCCCCTCCAAAAAAAAAGACAGTGTTTAAAAATAGGGAAGAAAGGACAGATGTCCAACTGAGCCAATTTCATGGAGCCCCAGGAGCCCATGGTGTCAGCAAAAGTTGCCCATGGTTGGAGGAATATTGCCTACAGCTGAAATCGGCTCCTGGCAGTACTCCCCAGCCCTCGGAGTATTTACAGTCACTGAAGACCAGGTTCCCCCAAGTCTGGGCAGAGAACAATCCACCCGGCCTGGCAGCCCACCGACCTCCATCTGTTGTCCAGTTACTGAGCTTGGCAAGCCCCATCAGAGTGAGTCTAGAGGTGAAGCAGGGAATGGCAGTCCACTTGCCCCACGTCATTCACCTTGAAAGACCCCATGACTCCCAGTCTTGAAACCCAAGACTACTGGCTGGTGCAGGACCTCAGGGAAGTTAATAGACAGGTTGAGACTATACATCCAATACATCCTCTGAACCCCCATCCTCTCCCAAGTCTCCTTCCACCAGAGAGGTAGGTCTATACTGTCCTGGATCTGAAAGATGCCTTCTCCCTGCCCTTGGCACCTGTATGCTAACCCATCTTTGCTTTTGAATGAACTGACCCCAAAGGGGGATACACAGACTTCCTGACTTGGACTAGGTTGCCTCAGGGATTTAAGCACTCCCCAACCATGTTTGATGAAGCCATGAGTGCTGATTTATTGGAGTTTCACCAAAACTACCCAAAGAGCACCCTATTCTAATATATAGATGACCTCTTAGTTCCTTCTGAGACCGAGGAGTGTAGAGCAGCAGCTGAAGGACGAT